CTACTACTACTACTACTACAACAGGTTGTACTCTGCGTTATTGCCTGCTACCATTGCCTCCACACTTCACAAGCACACCGATGGCGGCCAGAACCACTGTACCTCGATAATGATTGCTGCAGGCGTTGCACCACCGTTTATTGCTGTGACAGATCGAACGGAAACTTGTCACACGCAGCAACCCAGCTACGCCACGCTGTGTTGCGCAAGCAAATCAACCAGATTGTTCGAGTGCACCTTCATTGGGTTCGTTTTCAAGCTTGAAAGAAAAAAGCAAATCTCTGAGCCACGGATGGAACATGCGACGGGCCCATGTTGAAGGGCAGCGTCACTGACCCAGCCGAAGTTTGCAGTGTAAGGAGGAAGGTCTCCATGTTTGTTCCCGAGGATTTAGAGAATGTCGGCAAAGTCCGTCGGCTGGCGAAGATGGGCAGGAGGGGTCTTTAAAGAACAGCGCTGATTGACTGTGAGCTGGACTCCCGCGGCCAGGACCAGCTGCTGCTGGGCGCTTATTCACAGCTTGGGAAGGTCGAGGTCTACCAAGAGGACACGATGATTCTGACTTGACGCAACTCAGCATGTTTGCAGTGCCCAGGTCTTCGGCTCATCCCTGAGGCTGGACTTGCAAAGTTGTTTGCCAAAGTTCCGCAAGCTTCTGTACCTGGGCCAGGTGTGCGGCACAAAGCATCCAGCGGCGAACCTATTGTTGGCATTGGAAGGTTTGCCTTCCTCGCCTTGTGCTTTGATCAGGCCTGCCGGATCCAACCTTCCCCCAGAATGCAGGGAGCCCTGGAAGACAGCTAGGCGCTGCTGCTACATGTGATGAGGCCTATTTTGTGTCCATGGCGGATTGCATGTGGCCACTCTGCGAGATATAAGGTGTCGAATTTGCTACCTGCTCTGAAGCACGGGGTGCAGTGCAATCCTCAGAAGTTAAACTCTCCTCATTGCCGTCCTTTCCCCGATTCTGGAAGAATCTTGCAGCGAATGCCGTCTAGGAGGAAATGGAAATGGCCAAGGGTTGGCAATGTGGTTCGGCTCTGTTTTCTAGGAGCAATGGGCTGCCAGGACTGGGAAGTTTTCCGACAGCTTGTTCGCCAGGCCTTCGCTGTTTTGCATCAGCAACAGTTGGATAACAGTTGGAGAACATTTGTAATATACTTGAACCATTAATATTTCCAGTATTATAGACTGTACGTAATGAGACTATGTTTCAAAGTTGCCAAGCGATGCTGCGGATCTTACCTCCGTGCCTGAAGAAAGGCGGCTGAGCTTGAGCAGTCTGGGCAATATCAGGCCCAGTGGGATCTATTTGACAGCTGTTGTTCTTGCAAAGCTGTGCTTGGACCTTGCAAAAGGTTTAGGGAGAACTGAGTGGGCGAGCGGAAGCACAGGCCGCAATGGAAAGCTACCACTTGCTGATGGAATCCTATGCGTTGGACGCTGGCATAGCATTACACTGCCGTCCTCCTCCTACAACATGTATGAGATGAGTTGAACATTTTGTCTGTAGCAGTTCAAGCCACGTAAGGCATGGGCGCTGCTACGGTCTTTTACAGACAGGGGCGGCTCTATCTTGGTCTAGGTGCAGTGACTACAGGTTGTGGTCTGCAACTTGGCAAGGGAACTCTGAGCTGGGCCTAAGGCTACCTGCAGCGAGCGGCCAACTTGTTCCAGCTTGCTGGGCGCTTGGCAGAATTGTGAAGCACTGGTGTCGCAAGACCTCCTGCAGAATCCTACACCAGGCGATGAGCATGTTTTGGGACGCTTCGCGCGCTGAGAATGGCATGGCCTGCCTGCAGTATGAGATGTGGGGCATCAGGCTTGGCCTCAAACATGAAGATCACTTGACTTCTGCGGAGCTGGCTGTGCCAGGTGGTTTGAAGATTTCATGGAAACCTACCTGACTAACGCTGCCAACCTGCGACGAAACGACTTGGCCATGCTGCCGCAGCTCATCTGCTTTCGGGGGACTATCATGATAGACACAAGCCCCACGCGATGCGGGCCTCAATGCAAGGCACCTATCCGACCTGCAGGCGCATTAGTTTGCGGGATGTGCCAAACTGGAAGATGTCAAGAGCAGGTGCCTCCCAGTTATCGGGATCCTTCCCTGCGCATTGCGGTTTTCTCTCTGTGTGACTACTCGCCGGAGTCTCCCATGTACTGGCTGCTGGGCTCTCAGACATCATGCCTGCCAGGTTTACTGTTACTGGCATCTGTCGGTTTAGACGCGTGCTCGCACAAAGGCTGGCCCGGTCACGTCAGAACCGGGAAGCATACTGCTCGCGGCACGGCTATGGCTTGGTGAGAATCTAAGTCTCAAAGCACCGAATTCATTTGCGATAAGGTGTTTTTATGCTCTCGCCCTCAAACTTTTAGGAGTGGACGTCACAGAGGCCCTCATCTTCCAAGGCCAGTTCGTGGGTTGACACACGTTGCTGATGTTCTTAAGCGCATGAAGCGCATGACCTGAAAGGACCGGCATCCGGTGTGGGGCCAAATCGCTGGGCCTCTGGAGCTGCTGGGACGCCCAGAGTCATTTCGAGCGCAGGCGGGAACCATTAACTGATTGCAGCACACTTGCACACTTGGCCCACTTGGCCCACTTGCTCTCCCGGACGCAAGAACCGATTTTGACGCACTGGCTTCTCAACACGCTTGACGCACTTGACCCACTTGGGTCAAACGGGTCACAAGTGGATCAAGCGGGGAGCGGGCTGCAAGCGGGCCAACTAGGGCAAGTGGGCTTCAAGCTTTGCACAAACGCAATGCTCCCCGAGTCGATCTTCTTTGCCGGCGGCGTATTTGCTCGAAGTAGCTCCGAAACGCTGGACTTCAAGTAAGTCGGTAAGGCCCTACGTAGCATCCTGCGTGCTTGCTAGCTGAAGCGAAAGCCCTTTCAAATTGCGTTGACTTTGGAAACGACCTTGAGTAAGTGCACCGCCGTCAAGGCCAGGCTCGTGAGTGGCAGCTGCGGGCTGCCAGAGCTTGTGACACCCAAGAGCTGCGGGCTGGCAGCCGGC